GGGGGGGAACAGGAGGGCCCCTCCTGCCGCTCGGTCCCCGGGGAGCCGCGCGCAGACCTCACCTGCGCCCAACGCCCCTCCGCCGCGCCGGCCCTGCAGCGGCCGCCGCGCGCCCATTGGGCGAGCCGCCTGCCCGTCAGCCCGCCGCGCGCGCCTATTGGCAGGGCGGGGCTGCCACGCCTCCTCGCCCAGGTGGGCCGAGAGCCTCACGAGCCCCGCGGCTCCTTTAGCAAAGGGCCTTCTGCCGCACCCCCCCCGCCCTCCATCACCATTGGCTACAGCTGCTGCTTGTCGCGCTGTGCCTGGCGCTGATTGGCTAGACTTAGCAACCCCGCCCACTCCCTTCAAGGAGCTTCCGGAGGCGGGGGCGCGCCAGGGTCCCGAWGGGGCGGGTTTGGCTCCTCCCCTTCCCGCCCCTTTTGTCTGCGGCCGCGGGGGAAGGGCGTGTTCGCGCAGTCACGGGGTGACCGAGTGACCGTTGGCAGCGGGTGACTGACCGTTGGCGCAGCCGTTGAAAGGCGAAGGGGGAGCCCAGGCTCTATAGCTAAGTAACGCCCTGGCGTGTACGTTTTGTCCCTGCGCTTAGGCTAGCGAGCGAAACGTTTTTTCAAGTTTCTGTTCTTGGGCTTTTCCCCTTCGTTTCCACAGCCGTTACGGGCCTGACATTTGCTCCCTGCCGTACATCCAGTTGCCGTGGTAACGTAACCTTTGTGCAGAGCCCAGGCGCTTCTCGCAGCCAAATAGTTCAAAATACGTTAGGATRAAATTTGCAGTTTGCCCCGTTTCTTCTGCCCAACCTGACCACTTCTTTTACATGTATGTTATGTACATTAATAGAATTACTTGCTGAATAATTCCAAATTGATGCTGCCTTGCTATATTCAGCATTTGCAGCTACACATCTTGATGGGACAGATAGATTATTTGATTAATACAGCTTCTGATGCTCGTAGATCTGATGATGAAATTAAAATTCTGCCCGAGGGTATTTTATAGTTTTAGTGAGGAAATTTGCCAGTAATGTCCCTTAAATATTTAAAGTAATTAAATGTGAAAAACCTCATTTACATATGTGATCAGTTTGGCTGCCATACGTGCCCATTGAGTACTGACTGTAATAAAAATTTTAGAAATCTATTATCTGATCATTGTCAAAATACAGGTATAAGATRCAAGTCAACCAAAAGGCAGTTTAAACAGGATTTAAGTGCAAGCAATAGAAATAGGTAGAAAAAAAAGGACACTGAAAATCATTAGTGTGAACCTCTGCCCATCTGCMAAAAGGATGACTGCTAATTATTGAATGTCCCTTTATTGTGAAGCACAGGAATACTAATTATTATGAATGGCCATTAAAATCATTTGAACTAGCAGGCATGTGATTTTGTACAGTAGCTATGCACATAATTCTGAATAGCTGTCTTTCCCTCTCCCTTGTTACTCCATTATTGCAGAGCCTAATAATCACWGAGGAAAAATGTTGGGCCCTCTTTGTTCGTGTGAAGAAGTACAGTTTGAAGACTGAGAACTGCAGGAGCAGATATTGTAGTAATAGTTGGTGTTGTAAATGGCTGAAAATTGTGGGAATTCATGGTTGTACCTAAACGTAGCAAAGATAATAAGATTAAAGACAGGAGAAAATAACCTGGAATTTACATTGTCCAACCATAAACGTAGTTTCTTGCAGGTCTCCAAAAGACTTTTGCTAGTTCTGGGGCAAAAGCTTTAGAACACTGGAGGATTAATTTTTCCTGCTTTAACTCTTGTTTTCTCTATAGACCTCTTCAAAATCTCCATAGGTTTGAAGATCACTGAATCACAGGGCTCCCCTATTTTCTGTTAGTGACATTTTGGCTTTCTTTGCACATGATTTTTAGGGGGAATGGCTTTATGTAAAACAATTTCTAAGAACTGTAGAAGCCCATTTCAGTGWAAATAATCATTTGCAATAGTTAAATTGTTAAAAAATCTGCAAACCAATCTCATCTAGACTCATCCAGTAAAAAGTGACAGTTTGAGCGAGTCCTTTAAAATGATAAATTACAAAAATGAAAAACGTTACGAAAGGTTTTTCACCAGACTAAATGAATTAAAAGTCGACCATATAGCTTGGTAGGAGCAAACTATCTTCTACAAAGGATAAACAAATACAAAATCCAAGAAAAAATTTAAAAATMTCACTGCAGTTTTTATGCATACCAGTTCCAGCTTCGATCCCAATATAACAGACAAAATGTTCTCCAGCTTAAAAAAAAAAGCAAGCACCTTATCTAATTAAAAATGTTTTAAAGAYTCTGTATTTTGAAATTCAGTGCAAATAAAATCAGACTTGGGAAGGATTCATTTGCTCAGTGCTTTTATTTCACAAAGGAATTAACATTTCAGCAAACATACAGTATTATATTTTCCACATATCTGCGGAGCTCAGGCAGCAGCAAAATGTTACCAGTTTGTATTCTTTATTGGATGTCAGAGGAAAAAAAAGTTAAACATAGTGCTCTGTTACAAATATTGTCAAATATATTCCTGGTTTAAATCTGTTTTAATTAAAATAGATCTCATGCTGCCTCCTGTTGGTCACTTCTGATGGCAGAAACAGAACCATCTAAAATTACTGTCAACATGTCAAAATGTAAATTGCACATTTTATACCCTGTTCCTGGCCCCTTACCTAACACCTACATACCTGCTTGTGAGAAGAGGTACACTTTTTTCTTTGTGGAGTAATACCAGGAATAAATCTGACCCAGTAAATGTACTCCATCTTGTAAATATAACTTTTAAGTGCAGCAAACTGACTTAATGTATTTAGAATATAGAAATTAAATTTATTATTACATAAATAATTATTAGGTCTGTGCAAACATAATATTCCARTATATGAGAATTATTGATATTTATTTTAACAAATAGAACAGTATGACATTACCAAAATGCCATGTTTCGACAGCATTATTTAAAAAGATTATCCAATCAAATAATTACTGCATTTTAAAACCTCACATACATTATATTATTTTCAAATATACTACACTAATCATGCTCCTTTTTTGACAAATAATAGATTATTAGAAATTTTTTGGTTACATTATTTAAGTGCAAATACACCTTTACATGCAATTAATATGTTTTAAGCATSTTGTTCTTTCAGTGAAAACAAAGGTAATAGGTAAGCTTAGTCATCATGGACTATTTTTTGATAAATGTATTTTTGCATAAAGTACTGTGAGCTTTGAAAAATCAGAAATGATGTAGAAAAACATGATTTGCACTACTTTTGTTATATTTAATTGCATAACTTTTGTGTAAAGTCGACTAAAAATATATATTTGATCCAGACCTACTGCAGTAACTCATGCAAGTGACCCCTTCTGAGTAGTCTAGTTGACTTAACTGAGATCTCTTATATCATTAAAGATTAATCATTGGGTCTGGAAGATCCACATGATCTTAATTATATTATGAAGCCTTGGTTTTAACTGTAACTTTCTAATACAGCTTCTTCTGCACTCAGTTCTGCTATGAGACTTAACCCTCTGASTGTGGAATTGTGGCAATGACCTTTTTTCTTTGCACAAGAGTCATAATACCAGCTTACCTACGTAAGTGAAGAAATACGTACTATTTCACAGCAACTTTTCTTTAAGCACTAGTATAAACTGCATTATTTCCTGATCACTGAATAAAAGAGTTAAACTCCATCTGAAATTCATGAATGATTTGTCGGTCTGGGAACTGTGACTAGTTCCTGTGCAAATGCAGCATAACTTTAGAGTACTAGAAGAGTACATATTTTTTCTAAATGAAGCTTCACTCAGTTTTCACTATTTATATCAATAGTGACAAGTAACTTACCATATATGTCATTGCTCTATTTGATGGCATAAACCAGAGACTTATAGCAAGTAGCTGGATGAAAGACTGCCAAATAAAATGTAAGGAAAAATTAGAGGAAAGGGCATCATCTGAATCACCGACTTAGTGCTGTATGTGTAATCAACAAGCTGGTCGTGACAGTGACAATTAAAAGTAATCCTGCGATTCTGTACTGTCCCCTAATTTGCATAGCTATTATACCCATATACAGTGGGCAATGTATGTTACTTTGCTCATCTTTTACTACTTCACATGACTTTACATGAATTGCATACTTAAATTACTTGGGTATAAAAACAACAAAAAACCACAAGCAAAGGAGAATCAGGTCTTCTCTTTCTGTGATGAAAAGTGACAAGTTGCAATAATTAATAGTCAAAGAAGTCTTGTTATATTTTTAAGAGCAGCAATGTGACTCCGAATAACATTATTAAAGCCAAAACTACTATTCTACTATATAACTATTGTTTTTCCTGCTGTTTCAGTGGGAGGGAATAGTATTCTCTCTTCTAAACTATTCAATACATTTACTTTGCACTAAGAGAAACTACTCGTGTTTTGGTATAAAAGTGCTTGCGTTTCAGCATGATGATGTGTAGTTTTTCTGTCTAAATAAAGTTGTAATACAATTTGAAAATTCACTATGAAAATATCAAAATAAATACAGAGGTTCCCTGGAATCCTAACACAACAAGCTGTTTACTTCTACAGAACAAACACATCTTAATACATCTTAAATACTGTTGTGTGTGGGGTCCACTCTATTGACATGATCCTCAAATGTGCAAAATTTACACCAACATTTTGTGAAATTTTTTATGGTGAACGTTATTTAAATTTATAAAGATATCAGCAAATTATAAAACTAATTACAGGATCGTAATTAGTTCCATTGTTTACTCTTTGAAATAGAAATATGTCACTGTAAGATACTAAGCTTTAAGTTTCWGGACTAAGATAGACTTTCTCAAATATAGATGCAGTACTGTTGTGACGATTAAATTACTGTTCATCTTGCACTATGTGAAAAATATTTCAGACACCTTCCTGAAGTTTGGTCATTTTTTAAACTACTTGGAAATGAAATGCTCAGTATTGTTCTGCCTGTCATAATATAACTTTACTGTTCTAAAGATATTTTATATACAATATAAGGGCTCCCAAAATTTTATTCAGATACCTGGAAAGAAATAAAATTCCCAGGCTGTGAAAGACTACAAAATAAATTTATGAAACCTAGCTAATTCCAGTATCTTTCAGTCAGAAACAGGTCATTGGATGAATGATATCAAGTTTAACTGATGGTATTTGCCTAGTGAAATATTAATACTAAAAATCTCTGACTAAATTTAAACATTATAATAGAATACTGAAAGTTTTTTTCTTCAATAAATATATTGYGTATCATTTCCCATGTAATATTTTTACATTTAAAATTACCATGAAGTACAAGATGGGAGTGTTTTAATTAAACTACTGCATCCATTAAAGGAATTATTTCACTTCATAAATCCTATTTACTTAAAAGATGGGGATTTGGTTTTGTAACTTAGTATTTTTTTATGTGACAAGATGCAAAATTTTCCTGTAATTAACTGAGGCAACAACTTAAACTGGTATTACTGCAATAAGCAGCCTAGTAGCTTTAGTAGATATCACTGTAGCCTTAGGAGATGGAAGACTTGTGCCGGGAAACAGCCTGAAATGTTTTGTACTTTCAGCTTAGCTGCAGTTAACAGCATGACGGAGGTGAGCATCTGCACAGGGAAGTTACTGCATGAATCATCCACCCTGTAGAAATCCTGTCCACCCTGCAAAAATGTTATCAGAGGTTGTCTTGCCACAGCCATGTGATGAAAACAACATATTCATCCTACTACTAAGGCACAAGGATGGAGAAAAACTGCAAAGCTGAAATAAGGTAGGGCAACAGTCTTAAGTTGGATACCTAGAGTTAATGCTGTGAAGGTCTCTTTGGCATTTACCCCTGCTAAGGTTGTTCTAAAATGACAACGAATTCCTCTAACAGGATTATGATACCAAAAAAAAAAAAGAAAAACTAATGAAAACACTAATTCAGAAAATTTCCTTTAAACTTTAGTTACATAGAGAAAACAGTTTTCAGAAAACTGAGCAGTTTTCTTGCTCAGTGAGTTTTCTATTGGGACACCTGTGAAGATTACAGAAATCACAGGGCATATATTAAAAAGTCTTATGACTTTTCTGAAAGTATTACAGTAATTACAGAAAACACTCACATAAAACTAGTATTTATAATGACTAGCATGAATGACCATTTTATGGACCCTTTCAAAAAACACTTCCATAGCATATAATTTAAACTGAATATAAAAAAAGAAAAAAAATCAGCAATTAGCAGCTAGAAGTCTCTTCTAAAACTTGTGCATTTAAACAGATTTTGACTTACTCATTTCAGAACTCCTCTTCAGAGCAAATTGTCATTACAGATGACCAGGGGTCCCTGTATTTATTAAATTGAATAACCTGACAGTAAAACTCAGTTAAGGCTCTTGGCATTGGTGATACTTCTTCCCACTCAGACCTACTACTGTGGTAGACTTGAACTTCATCTGTAATTTCTTCTGGAGCATAATCACCACCTAATATATAAATTTTATCTTCTGTTCCAACTGCCCCTGCATTAAATCCAGCACATTCAAAAGATCCTTCTCCTTTCCAAACACAGGTTTCTGGGCAAAAACTGTATACCTTGTAGGTGGAAAGATCACATATATACAATGTGCAATTCACTGGCACAGCTTTGATTAAAGTTGCATGGAAAAATTGTCCAAATTCTGCTACAAGCTCAGACCACTGATCAGTCATAGCATTATACTTAAAGAAACAATCAAGAGATGGATTAAAGGCATCAGTAATCTCTACTTCTGATCCAAGGACATAAATTATATTCTGACATGCACTTGCTTCTGGATAGTARATACCTCTTGGTAATTGGCTTACAGATTTCCAATCTTTGGAAAGAGGATTATAAGATTCTACATCCAAAAGACTTCGGGTTTCTTGAGCTCCTCTGGTCTTTCCACCTATTACAAACAACTGATTTAAGGTTACAACGGATGTGTGCATTGTCCTTGGTTTTTTCATAGCTGACACTACAGAGAACTCGTTGTTGACTGGACAGTAGCACCAGGTTTGGTCAGTGGCGTCATGGAATGGCTCAGCAATATGAAGCCTGACTGTCCTATAACAATTCCCTTTGCATCCTCCAGTTATAAATATTTTTTCTCCGTAACTAGATAAACTTGACCCTGGAAGATCAACCATATGTGTATGTGGCAGTTCCTTCCATTTATCTGTTTTGATGTTGTAGCAAAACGTATGTCTGTTTTCTCCATCTTCATCAGTTTTATGTACAAATATGTATTTTTCTGTTGTTGAAGGGCGTGCATCTGGAAACAGTCCGCTGAAGTTCTGCACACTCTTAACTGCATCACTGATTATTATAGAGCAATTAGCACTCTTGAGTAACTGTTCTTCAGAGTGCAGAAAGTCTTGCAAAGTTTTTTCAGGTAACTGATGTAGTCTCACTTTTTTAATCAAATGAGCCAAATATTTCTGTCGTGTTTCTAAATTATGTTTGGTCCATTGAAGGACAGCTTTCAACACTGATTCCTCCTCGGGGACATCAAGTTCATCAGCCTCAAGACATTTTTGTAATATCTCAAAATTCATCTCCAAAAAATCACTTGATCTGAGGAGCAACGAGAAGTGGTGCTGTACAAAATCTAATGCATGATCAAATAAACGGATGGAACCGTAACTTTCTGATAGAGAAAGCAACTGTAAACAATTCACAAGATCAATGCTTTTTATTAGGAAGTCACTGCAAGCTTTGGAAAGGAGTGAAACCTGAAGGAAAGATGACAGCTGGAAGAGCATTTCCACATTATCATTTGTTATCTCTGTTTTTCCTGTGTAAGCATAATCAAGAAAAGTTTTCACTGCCTTTGGTGATAGATTACTAATGGTAACATTGCCATCATCTCGTTCTTTCATATTAACTTCAAACAGCGCTCTGTGAATAAAATATAAAAAATACACACAGAAATTAAATACCGTATGTAGTTTATCTAGCAAACAAGAGGAAAAAACATTGATGTGAGAGGGAGGAGAAAACCAGGGTGGTACATGAAGGYACTGTGGTGGAGAAGCTTTATAGAGCTAACACATTTTAAGACTCTCAAAGTTTAAAACAATACATTTGTTTGATATGGCAGATGAAAAATGGTGCTCAGAGCATACTGAGAGTGATGGCTCATAGAAAATATATTGGCAGCTGTGTTTCCCATGTATTTTCAGGGGAGACATGATTTTCAAGGAGCTTTCAAGATGAAAGAAAATGTGAAATTGTTAGGGGCAGCATGAGTTTCAACAGTTTGAGAAAGAAAGACTGATACAAGAAATACAGTACAAAAGCCCTCTCAGTGTAGGTCATACATTGTGGATAGACACAGTTAAGTTAAAAAACAGGCCTTCCAAATTACAGGCTGGAACAATGGGCAGGGTGCAGGGTGGGTGCGTTCTCCAGAAATGTGGGTGAGGGAAGTGAAAGAGGAGTTAAAAAAGAGGAAATAATTCTTTTAGAGTTGAGAAATGCGTGTACGGGCAAATGTCAGAAAAAAAAAGTTCTGATGTAGGATTGGGTGATATAATAAATCTTGCACAAAAAATAAATTGCGACTGAACACAGAGATGATGGTTGAAATTGTGGAACAAACATCAGTAGCCAATAGGTTTATGCAAATTTTATTGCAGTTTTGACAGGTTTCTTACTAAATAGTATTTAACTATTGCAAACAATCTAAAATGATGAACATAAAATAATTAAGAGTTTGCAAGCTAGCAAGTGGTGGCAACACAAGATTGCTGCTATTTCACTTTCCCTAATTTGCACAACCCAAGTGTGATGCTGTGACAGCAACAGCTCCTGTACTGGAAAAAAAAAAAAAAAAAAAGATAGTAGAGAAAGATGTAGGCAAGTGATTCCAAACACTGAATATATAATCTGGATTTTTAATAGAGTTAGTTCCTATTAAAAATAGTATTATATCACAGCTCTGTTAAACAAGTAGTATTGATTTGTAATTTTTAAAATCCTGTACTTTGATGAAGTCAGGGAAAAAGTTCACTGTGTAAGGCATGCTCTCTGAGAACTACACATCAAGAAAAGTAGGAATTCATCTGATATCTAGCACAAGTAGGTAAAATGATGTAGAGAAAAATATCGAGAAGACCTCACTGCATATTAAACTATTTGCTCCTTAGAAAAGGAATATTTTTAGAAGTTTTCCCTTTATTACAATCTCTGAATGACAGAATAAAAAGGATGTGGGATGCTTAGGAAATGCATTGAAACTTCATTTATAGGCAATAGCAGCAAAACAATATTATCAGGAGCAGAGCAAGCTAGCTAGGAAGGGCCTTTGATTCTGAAAGAAACAAGCACATTGCAAATTGTTGCTGAATCACATTCTGAAAGAAGCCCAAGGTTTTTTTTTTTTTTTTTTTTTTATTTTTTTTTTTATTTATCTAGTGCACCTAGATGCTTTTTCTTCCCTGAAGATAATTCACTATTTACCCCGAAGATAATACAGAGACCTTGCATTCCAGGACAACTTAGGAATTTGATGACTGTTTTTATCTGCTGTTCAATGCAGTGAGAGGTCTCTCCTTGCTAACTTAACTTGGAGAGGTATTGAAAATGCCAYGTATGTTATCATGTGCTTAACTTCAACTCTAAAACAAACCACAGGAACCAATTTCATACTAGTATTTTCTACTACAAGGCCTCCTACGGAAAGGTGGCTTTAGGGTGTCAAACAGTAAATGCTTGAAATTTAAGCAGTTCTCTGTGTGAAGAAATAATTCATATTATTTGCATTTCTCCTATTGCTAGTGGTCCATAAAAAGGAACAAAGTATTCAAAATTTCATATTGGTTATGAAAGGCACTAAATTCTTTCAGCTTTCAGTATTCTCCCTTATTAAGGAAATAACACCTATTTATATTTGCTTTCCAATAGCTGCAGATTGCATGTGCAGCTGTCCTAAAAGCTGTTGCAGAAAAACGAAGTACAAAGAGTGATAGAAGTAATCTTCCCAAAACAGATGCTGCAATTAATGTTCTGATGGATTATTGGGTTCTTTTGGTAATTTTTTTCCCGTGGAAAGTTGAAGAACTTGTTTCCAATTAAATTTAATACACCCCAAGTATTTATTTCAGTCTGGATTTGCAAATCTGAGCCTTACTAAAGAAACAAGACTCTTCTTAAATTATTTTGAAATGACAAAATCCTATATGYGAATGATCTGTCAGTTCCTCAAGAATGAATAGGTTCAAATATTCAAGGGAAGATCACAAATCTGTCTTAAGATAAACTACAATATACTACTCAAACATCTCCCCCAAAATATATATAATTTATCTATAATAGTTCCGAATAACACAACCATGCAAGATTTATTCCTAACCAGTCTGATAATATTTCAAAATATAAATGTGTCAGAGTACACAGGCTGCCCCATAGAAAGTCAAACAATATTTWTGCAGGCCCTCAAGTACAAATACAGGCAACAGATAAAGACTTGGAGATACATAATTTGAGTCAATTCTACCTAAGAGTGGAATCACAGAATGGTTAAGTTTGRAAGGGACCTCTAGAGATCACCTAGTCAAACCTTCCTGCTCCAGCAGGGACACCCAGATCACAGGGCACTGGGTGGCAGCCAGGCAGGTTTGGAAGACCTCCACAGAAGGAGACACTACAGCCTCCCTGGGCAGCCTCTTCCAGGGCTCTGGCACCCTCACAGTAAAGGAAGTTCTTCCTCACATGCAGGTGGAACTTCCTGTATTGCAACTTACACCCATTACCCCTTGTCCTGTCGCTGGCCACCACTGGGAAGAGCTTGGCCTATTCCTCCCTACATTCTCATTTCGTGCACTTATACATATTGATCAGATCCCCTCTCAGCCTTCTCTTCTCCAGAGAAAACAGGCCCAACTGACTCACTCTCCTCATACAAGAGATGTTCCAGTCCTTTAATCATCTTGGTTGCCCTCTGCTGGACCCTCTCTAGAAGCTCCACATCCCTCTTATACTGGGGAGTGCAGAATGAAACCCAATACTCCAGGTGCAGCCTCACCAGAGCTGAGGAGATGGGCAGGATCCCCTCCCTTGACCTGCTGGCAACATCCTCCTGATGCAGCCAGGAGCCCACCGGCCTTCTTGGCCATGAGGGCACTGCTGCCTCTTGGCTAACTTGGTGTCCACCAGGACTCCCAGGTCCCTCTCTGTGRAGCTGCTCTCCAGCAGGTCAACCCCTAATCTGCGCTGGTGACTGGGGTTATTCCTCCCCAGGTGCAGGACCCTGCACTTGTCCTTGTGGAACCTCATGAKGTTCTCTCTGCCCAACACTGCAGCCTGTCCAGGTCACTCTGAATGGCAGCATAGCCCTCCAGAGCATCAGCCACTCCACCCAGCTTGGTAAACATGCAATCATGCAGTTAAGATTTTGAATCATGCAGTTATGATTTTGTATTTGTATTTCAGAGTAATATACTGCTGTTTGAATCTCAATAGGGTACTTGTGTCATTTCAGAATTATAAATAGGTTTATCTGGGATATGATTAGACATCTAGCATGCCATGATTTTTTTTTAACATCCCTAATATGATGTTTGGCCACTTTGCTCAAAACTTGGAGAACATACATTAGTTGTAATATTTTTTTTTAATTATATTTGCTTCCCTCCCTTCTTCCCAGAGGGTTTATAACCCATTTCCCACAAACTCATCCCAAAAGCAGGTTTACCTGAAAAAATCACTGCATGCTGCCAGTACACAACGATGACAAGGAATTATTTCATCTTTCACAAGAATTTTGAAGTCAAAAAATATATTTTGTTCTCTGAACTTTTGTAGTACTTTTAGAATTTGTTGTCCATGACCTTCAGCCACTAAGGAGTTGATTTTACTTTCAGAAACAGAAATTCCATTGCAAATAGGTCTGCTAATGTAATCCCGTTGATTGGCCATGTTTTCTTCAATCTATTCCTGAAACTGAAATGGAAAAATAAACAATTGATTTTACAGTCTTACTACACCAAAAAAAAAGAAAGGCATTAGAACATATTTCTAGCACTGAATTTGGCCTGTAAATCCTAGGCACAGTTCTAAATTTCTTTTATTCAGTGACTCTTATACTGAATTTGATATGCCTATTTTTTTTCAAATACTTCATACATATTTTGCATATGCACTGCATGCTTTTGAAAAGTAAAATAAGTGATACATCAGAGCAGCTCTATAAATAGTACCCACCTGCAGGTTTTTTTCTTTCTTTTTTTTTCACCTTACTCAGTAGACTCAATGAAAAGCATACCAAGCAGTTTATTACAGATTTTAATGGTAATTGTAAAAGAAGACTACTCCTGGGCTTACACCACCCAGAACTCCAAATTCTTCCAACTTCTCCTAAGAAGAAGATGGAAAGCAAAAGTTTATGTATTTTTAAATTTCAAATGGCTCATCTGCGCATTGCAAACATATAAACTCAAAGCAGACCAGCTCTGAGTCCTCTAAAGCTTACAGTCCCAGAGAAATACAAATGTTATGAGCTGGTCTAGATTTTTTGCTATCTAGGTCTCCATTCGACAGTTCAATCTGAAAATACAAACAAGCACCAAGAGCCTGGCCTAATCGCATAGTTGCTAAGGTTTGCCAAGCGCAGTCATTTAAAGACAGTTTATCTACGATGCAACTTAAAGTGCTTTCAGTGTCATTTCATATTGATTTTATCCTACATCTCTAATCTTATAACTGAAGCCATATGTTTGCTTAYAGCTTATGCTGCTATTCTGAGCTTTGTTTAAAATGGCTTAAAATAATTTGCTTCAGAACTAATTAAAATTTAAGACAATGAAGTCTCCGTAGACAAGTTTTTCCAGTCAAAACCCTATACTTGAAGTGTATGGTTTGTAAGGTAAGTTGGGCTTGACTATTTTTTGAACTAAAAATATATTACTATACTTTGACAACATAAAGAAGCTTCAAATATACTTTATTTCCTTCAGTTTTAAGATTTATTTATACTTCTACAGATGTATTAGCTAGCCTTACTGCAAGTTTGACTCAAACTTGCCTATTTTAAAGTTAAGGAAACTTTAACTTTTAAAGTTAAGATGTTTCTATTGCAGGATTCTGTGTGAGGCTTCCACAACTCCAATTCTGAGCAACAGATACCAGCCCATAGGAACTGACAAAAGAGGGGTAAAAAAAATCCAATCCAAACCTGAAAACAAAAATAACTGATTTAGTGTTTCAATTTGGTGAAAAGGCTTATCTGGTAAGGTATATTCACAGCAAGCTAAGCCAKGAGGCAGTCTTCTTCATGGGAGGTACTTTCATAGCAGACTGATCTATATTTTTATCTARTCAGGTAGCTCCAGCCACAAATAGACCTCCACGTCTCCTGGAATAGAAGAGATCCATTGATCTTGTTCCCAGCACTGGCACCCTTGGAGCGGGCATCTTCTCCTTCCCATGGCCAGACAATCTCACGTATTCTCTCTTTCCATTCTAAGCCTGAGGAACTAGGAAAATACAGAAGAACAAGACCACCATTTATTCTGATAATGAATGGCCTCATAAACTCCATTTTCCATAAATCACAGAATCTTCTTTTTATGCCAGACTTTTCTAGAATACCTTTCCCCACCCCCTTAACTTAATCTGTTCCTCATAAGATGGTCTCCTAAAAACAGAATTGTGCAATAAAACTATATCTTCCATGTTTGTAGGTAAAGTTCAAGGTTTATTTAGCAACATGTAAAGTAAACCTTTTTCTAAAGGAAATGTCAACCTTTTCATAAAATTCTGAAATTGAAAATAGCTACTAGACATGTTTCTACTATTACATGTAATTGCTACAGCAAGTTCTGACCTATTTCTTCTGTAGGTAGGATACCAGGAAAAGTGTTATTGAAATTAGTATTAAATGGAGAAACATCTCATGACATCAARTCCATCTCTGATATTTCAGGCAAAGTAATCATGTAATTGCTTTCACAAAAGCAAACTAGGTCTAAGAATGCTAGGTTACCACCACYACTGAAAGACTATTCCAAAACACTGGTGTCCAAACTGCAATTACATATAACAAATGCTTATAGACACTTGCTCCTCTATTAAAACTCTCCATTGATTTTTTGTGTTTATTTGCTTTTGATTATTAATAATGATCATATCCTCTCTCAGCTTTTTTATCACAATGAGTTAAGAACTGTCAAACTTCTTGAGCTTCATTTTTAAGAATGAATGTCTTCCTGCTTCTCAGCTTTCTCTTATYCATTTTTGAGCTCATTTTTCTGTCACTGGTGTCCAATTTATTGTATAATATTATAGTTAAGATCTTATCTGTCTCACAATGAAGTGTAGCTACTTTTCTGCCTTCAACGAAAATACTTTTTGCAGCATTTCCATTAAATTCATTTTAAATTTTGCCTCTCACTTACCCTGTTACCAACTACTTTTGTACTTTTTGTCCTTTTTTCAGTTATTTCCAGTCCATAACTGACTTACACTAGAAGTTGATTCGCTATAATTTTTTAAAGCCAAGATTCATCACACCAAATCATCTCCTGTAAGGTTCTACTAGTAGCTAGCAAGAAGCACTTTGCTTGCAGGAAAAAAATAATCATAGCTAAGAACAAAGACCTTACACAGGAATTTCTCAATTGATACATGAATGTGCATAGCACAAGGTTCTTCCTATTTTCACTGCAACTAGCAGTCTATAAATTGGATATAATAAATCTAAGCATAATGGTCTAATGTTAAATTTCCCAAGTTTACTGCTCCAATTCATGGGTCACCCAGTGCAGAAAAAAAGAATCTCATTTCCTATGTAGCTGCCTTACTCGATAAGGCTGAAACTGATTTTCAAATGTGCCTGATCTGTAGATCAGTATAAAGCCCACCAAAACACCTTAACAATCTAGCTAAACAGTAATATATTAAAACAAGGCCAACTGGCATTTATAATTATTTCACGAATGTTTCTACAAAGCCATATGAATTAGTCAGTAGCTATAATTAGTTTTATAAATATTTCATTAAGTTACTGACAAAACCACAAAAATTATCGACAGTGCAAACATATGTTGCTTAGGTCTGGAGTTCTGGAAGACTGGTCAATGAACCTCCTCATATTTGCTCAAGTCAACTGTTTATCAAGGCACATAGAGGCATGCTCTAACTCTTCTCTGTGGTGTGACATGCTGGGCACTTGTCATGTAGCTAATGTCCCAACATCACGTGATCCAGGTTCACTGGCACATTCAGTGTCACCGGTACTTCCTGCTGTGGGATCAAATTTGCTCTCTGCTGTGACCAAATTCAGGTACCCCATCACTTGACAAAGCTCATGGCTGTTCACATACTGAACATTTATGTATGGCTTATACTGACAAACCCCTGCACTGTGGTCATATGGTCTATGCAAAACTGGTCACAGGACTGAAAAGACTTAGCGCATCCTCCCCCCCCAAAAAGGACAGGAGGGACAGACTGCAGGCTACTGCACTAGTTCAGCTAGCTGCCGTATGGACTTCTTACTCAAGAACACTACATTTTAAAGTTAATACAGTTTCACTCTTTGTCTCCTTGAAAGTCTTACCAAATAAGCTATTCACAAGTCCTCTCAGTCTGAGTCCTTTCCCAAGAGGTTAAGGGAAAGAGCAATCTGGAGAATAATGAGCTTCTTGACCCACACACCAACTACCCACACAGAAAGGAGTAAGGTGCCTATGGTCAAAACATGGTACATGTACATCCCCATTCCTGCTGGTGAAAAGCTACAAGAGAATGACAGTTGTCTATCATTTAGCACCATTGAGAATCCTTCTTAGATGCACTTACACTTTTTTTTTAGAACTTTGTTATTAATCTATTTTTATTTTTCCCTGGAAAGCCTTGCTGCCCTTCTGAGTAGCTATTTTTTACCTGGGTATTCATAGAATCCCACATATTATGCTAGAAGATTGTAACCAGACCTTCCCATTAGACTTGCATAGACAGAAAGCTCCAAAAACACTGAGAACAGCCACTTGCAGAATACACACACCAGCCATATACTACAGTCACAAGTGCTGCTGCAGGCCTCCTAGAAATGGTGTTAGCATCCTTTCCAATGGGTTTCAAATAACTACTGCAGAATAAACCTGGAGCAGAGATGAACTTTTGTGTGCAGGGCACAGCATAGCTCTCAGGAGAGCACTGATCAAAATATACTTTTTATTATACTTTTTTATTTTATGCTTTATTATACTTTTTTATTTTATGCTTTTTTTAATACGAATTTTTACTATGCAGTAGATGTAAGTTTCTAGATCTATCCTCTCATTAATTACAACAGCTTTATTGCAGTAGGAATTAGAAAGCTATAAAATCCTGAGCGGCTCATGTCATCAGCTTCTGCATTTTTAAATTTAATATTAAAAACAATATTATAATATTCAATATACTATATACCTATCAAGATGACTTTTTATTTTTTCACTCCTATGTATAACCAATTCAAATATGGAATTGTCTTTTTTTTTCTTAAAAAAAAAAAAAGAAATGTAATTTAACTATTAATACCGAAGAAAACCTATTTGAAGATTCTGAATTTCTATACTGTATTATTGCTTTACTTCAGGTGCCCAAAATCTCAACTGGAACACTTAAAGAGATGTTCTTAGTCATAGATAAAACTGGACCACAAAAACAGAGTAACAGAGAATTATAGACTCCTGTCTAAAAAATCTAATGCAACTCAGTCTTACAACTTTTTCATCAATAACTGGACTTCATGGAAAATTAATCTTCCCTCAATCATTTTCATTCCATCAAAAAAGCTCTATGTGACATTCTGAGACATTTAATCCAGAAATCTGGCATTTATCAATAATACATGTTGAGACATTATTATTATTAGAAGGGAGGGTGACACGGATACTTTAAAGCTTCAGGTTCTTTAGGAGTTATTGAAAAAAACAACAAACCTAAACCAACACAGCATGAAGCAGTGAAATGGCACTGGCTCCTGGCAGTATTCCAACGCCGCAAGATCCACTGTGGGCAAGCAGGGGTCTTTAACTGCATATCTGCTCACAAGCACCATCAATAAAACATATAGCATAATCAGCTAGACCTCAAACTGACTGGATTTTATCCTAAAGCTAATTTCGCAAATTTAACTTTTTTTTTGAAATTATTTTCTTAGGTAAAAGCTCAAGAATTTTCATTGTCACACACAACTGAAATGCCATGCTGCACTTGTAATCCTGGCAAAAATAACGACTGYATATTCTGAAAATTACTCTTTTTACTGGTTTTTGTAGTCTTTAGTATTTATGTACGATCCATACACGATCTTCTAAAAAAAAAAACTGCAATATTGAACATGTTCTTCATAGTATATTTTACTTAAATTGAAAATGTAGCTTTACAATCATTATTCCYATAATTACATTGCATATGTATAATTATATAACTATACATAGAATCGTATAAGGCACATTAAACCTCAGTTTGCATCTGCATTTGATAATATTCTCTAAAATTTTGACTAAATCCACTAGTGGGGGGAAAAAAAAAAGGTTACTCTCTACTTCAGAAAGAAAAACAAGTCAAAACTATTAAACAAATCTGACTTTTGGGAATTAGATARGCCCCATATTCCATTGTGATTGTCATGCACTATTTACATGTGAACTCAATTTCTTTAAACAGAATACTGGAAATRTAAGTGTCTACTACAAACTGATACTGTGGAACAGCAATTTCTCTTTTGTTTTTTTTTTCCTGACTACCAAATCCTCCTATGCTGTCATTTTCGTCTGTCTTTGGATAAGGCATAATAGGCTATTTAACCTCACTTACCTAAAACTAGATGAAAAATAAGAATTATACATACTTAAAAAATAGCTTAATTACCCTTGCTGACACTATGTGTCCCTAATGTGATTTCTGTGTTTCATTTTGCAAGCGCATTTTTTCTTCATATAGAAATTAAAACTGAGCCTTATTCTAGTCTGTGAGGAAACTTTTCACACTTTTTTACATTTATAGGGATTTGGAGTACTAAAACATCCAAAAGGGTCTCAACTGCAAAAATTAAATCATGTAATTCAAAAAAAAAAAAAAAAAAAAATTGTCATTCATTCACGATCAATAATGACCAATATAGAAAAAATAAACCACATATATTTCTAAAACATCAGATGGGAAGATAGCGCTGAAATTTCCAAATATATAGGTAACGTTTAGGCACGGCCCAAGTTCAAAACCGGAAGGTGAACAAAATAATTGCCCAGAGTTATGAAAAGGCCCAAAGGACACAACCCACCCGCGCCCGCCGCCCGGGCCCCGTGAGCGCCTGCGGGCAGCGCGGCCCCGCCAGGCGGTGACAGCGGCCGGGAACGGGGCGCAGCCGCCGCCACAGGCACCGGGCGGCGCGAGGCGCTGCCCCCTGCGGCCGTTAACGAGTGACGTCAGCGAGTGACGTCAGTCAGTAACGGCACCGCCCGGGGCGGGGCGAGCGCTCCCGCGCGAACCGGGCCCTTCGGGCACAGCGCAATCCCGCGGCGCACCCGCCAGCTCCCGCCAAGGCGGCGATAACCGACCCTGGCCTCAGCCCCGGCTCCCGCCGTCCCTAGGGCAGCGACCAAGCCGCGCGACCGCCGCCATCTTCCCGGCCCTTCGGAACCGGGCACGGGCGTCAGCGCCCCTACTGCGCATGCCCACGCACCCGCGCAGGCGCGCCGCGCCCTGCGCTCATTATTAAGGGAGGCCGATGCTCAGGCGGGAGGTAGAGGCTGCTGAGCTTTGCCCACTCCGCTCAGCCCGGCTCGGGACAGCCCCGGGACGGGGCGAGCTCTGGCCCCGCCGCCGCTCTGCAGCTGGCGCGGYGCTGCCCTCCCCGCTGGCGCTCCCTCCGCACGGCGCGCACCCACCTGCAGCCAACACCCGCAGCTCGCCCAGCCGTCTGGCCCACCCTCTGCAGAAGCGCCGCTAGCCGATTGGCTACTTCCGGTGTCATTCTCTCTGTCCTTGCCCTCCGGTTGGCCTTCTCTGCTGTCAATCGGGAAGAAGCCCCGCCCGTGCTCGGAGCACCTTCCYCTCCGCCCGCCCCTCGTAGAGCCCGCCGGCCGCAGCTCCGCCGCAGACACCGCCTTTCCCCTGATAGGCTGGCACGGGGCGCACCCGCTGTCACTCACGCGGCGGTGCGCTGCCGGATTGGTMGCTGCCGCTGGAGGGGCGGGGCTGGAGCGAGGCCCATGGGCAGCGTGCGCTGGGCCTTCCCGTGCGGCGCCTGGCGGCCCCGGCGTGACGAGTGGCTGCTGGCGGCGCGGCTCGTGCAGCGCGAGGAGCGCGAGCGCCTCGCCCGCTTCGTCTTCGCCCGCGATGCCAAAGCCGCCCTGGTACCYGCCGAGGGGGCGGCGCGGGGCCGGGTTCCCCAGCACCACCTCCGGGGTGGGCCCCGCCGGCGGGGTACCGGCCGCCCCGCCGGYTTTGGGGGGAAAACGGGGCGTTTGTGGCCGGGAGTGACCCCGAAAGTATCCCGGGCTTGGGGTGTGAAACTGGGAGCAATAGTAGCGTGCTCCAAATATAGCGGAGTGACGTTTGCTGTGAAAGTGTGAACGGGTTCACCCAGAGCCTTCTGCAAAATTTATTTAGACTTTTAAGTATGGCATAAAATACGCAATACGCATTTATTGCATAAAACTGTGGTAATAACACGGGTACTGTTGACTGGTTAGTCAATCATGGGCAGTTTTTAGCCCTTAATCAGTATTTCATTAGTGAAATAACTAGTACCTGTGTTACTGAAAAGGAATCTCTTGATTAAATTTTACTTTTCAGTGTAGTATAAAAAGTATTTGATGTTGGGCTACTGTGCTATAAAGTATCCTAGGAAAGAAAATGACATGGGAAGGGAGATATTTTCTTTTATGGCTCCTTTAGGTTGAGACTTTCTTCATCAGGTCTTGTACCAGGTGGAGTTTGTCGCTACTAGTGATTACAAATATGTGCAGGTCTGGTGAACTGTTTGGGGGATTTTTACTTTTGTAAAGTTTGAGGAGTTTTACAAAGGTCTTTTGTAAAAGAAATTTAAAGCATTCACTAAAATAGAGTACTACTCTATCTTGGCAGTAATAGCAACAAAGCATTTTTAAGCAAGTTGTTTTGTAGCAACCGCAGATACTTCATGGTTCATAACATAAAGGTTTTGTGTGAATCCCTTTCATTCCATAGGCTGGCCGTCTGCTCATAAGGAAATTAATTGCAGAAAAGCTGCATATTCCATGGAATGAAATATGCCTGCAAAGGACATCAAAAGGAAAACCTTTCCTAGCCAATGACGTACCCAGTGCCCATTCAAATTACAACTTCAACGTCTCTCATCAAGGGGATTATGCAGTTCTTGCAGCTGAACCTGAGCTTCAAGTTGGCATTGATATCATGAAGACTAGTTTGCCAGGTAATGCTGTTACCAATGTAAATTCTATAGGGTTTAAGTGCAGAACATTTTGAAGTCTCCCTAAAACCCAATCTGTGTCCTGGGAATTTAGGAACAGATTGTATGATACACTGTATATTTGCTTTTATTGCTATACAAACTTTTCTGTGTATATTTATGGGTTTCTGTAACAGCAGATATGGATTCATTTGCAATTTAGAAGAGCAGAACCATGGAAATTAAAGGTATGAATCCCTCTATGAAACTGGCAAGATATTTTTATTACATCTTTGCCTACCTGTAAAGACAGGCAGAAGCAGGGACAGCTCTGCATCCTGAGGCAGTGGACTTTATAYCCTGTGAGAACTGGTATATATACTGTGAGAACTTTATACCCTCTGAGTCCGAATCTCTCTCCCTCAACCTGTAAGTGTGGGCAGGGTCAGCACCAGACCCAGTCCCATAGCCACCCGGGATCAGAGGGACACTCTGCTCGTGCAGGAGTCGTCAGGGAGAGGAGATTCCCAGGAGCTCAAAAGCACTAGAAGAGCTGCCTTGGTAACAGACTGCACAGATATTGGCTTATTTATTTGTGTGAAACTAAAGATAACCTGATTGCATTAGTAAACTTCAAGCCAAAACAGTAGATCACAATGGTAGTAAAAAATATTCTGAACACAGCTGTATGAATGTGATTTTGGTTCACAAATACTCATWTATGCACGACTGAATTAAAGGAGAAACRTACTGGGATCTATAATTTTTTACAAACAGATTTTGAGATTTTTTTCATGAATGTTAAGGCAGGGGGCAATAACAGATGCTCTTTCTGAAAATCTCTTCACAATCTCCAGTTCGTCCAGGATTTTACGTTTATATTTAAACATATGTATTTAAAGTATTTTTCAATTTTGAAATGCAAGGCATTCAGCCCATAAGGCAATATTTTCTTAGTTTTTCAGTTAATAGAAAAAATATTTTATTTTGACTGCAGCTTTATCTGGTGTTTAAAAAAACAAGTTCATTTCCACTGCTTTCTTTGTTCTCTATTTTATCCTGATTTCTTCTTTATCCCATTCTTGTTACCTGCACATTAAAACACAGAAGTAGTGGCTAATCTGATATACATTGATCTGCTGCTCATTCTGCAGGCAGTTTCAGAGCATCTGGAGGTTCTTTTACCTTGTAGCTGCCCCTATCCCTCCTTCAGCCTCTAATCCTGGCTGTTGTAAGGGGTGTGGAGCCAAAGTCACACACTCCATCCATCCTGCTACTTACTCTCTTGTTATGTCCACTTTAACAGGCTAAACTTAGGAAAAAACACTCTGTATTTATCTTACCAACTCTGCTCTGGTTGCCGCTCTGCTGTAGTGCTACCACTGTCTGGTTGGGTGTCCTAGAGTTTGAAGGAGATTTTGGTATCAAGACCAGTTTAATCTCAGCAATAGGAAAGGAGGTGAAACAATTATTTTTTAGCTTATGGAAGCAGAGATGCAACGTTCACCTAAGGTCTTGACCRGCAAAAGAAGCTTCTGCCAGYGCTTCCTGAAACCAGGGAAGGCAACAGCCATGGGCTCCATAGGGAGAGGAGGTGGTGTCAGATCACAGAATCAYAGAATGCTTAAGGTTGGAAGGTTAGAATGCTTAAGGTTGGCCATCTAGTCCAATGCCCCTGCTCATGCAGGGTCACCTACAGCACATGGCATAGGGCTGCGTCCAAGCGGGTTTTAAAGATCTCCARAGAAGGAGACTCCACAACCTCTCTGGGCAGCCTGTTCCAGGGCTCTSTCACCCTCACTGTCAAAAAGTGTTTTCTCAAGTTCCTGTGGAACTTTTGGTGCCTCAGCTTGTGGCCATTTCCTCTAGTCCTATCGCTGGCCACCACTGAAAAGAGGCTGCCCCCCTCCTCCTCCCTGCCTCCCTTGAGGTATTTATAGACACTGATCAGTGTCAGCCCCTCAGCCTTCTCTTCTCCAGGCTGAACAGGCCCAGCTCTCTCAGCCTTTCCTCACAGGACAGATGTTCCAGGCCCCTGATCATCCTCATAGCCCTGCGCTGGACTCTCTCCAGCAGCTCCACATCGCTCTTGTACTGGGGAGCCCAGAACTGGACACAGTCTCCAGATGTGGCCTCACCAGGGCTGTGTAGAGGGGGACGATCACCTTTCTCGACCTGCTGGAGACGCTTTTCTTAATGCACCCCGGTATCCCATTGGCCTTCTTGGCCACCAGGGCACACTGCTGCCTCATGGTCATCTTGTCATCTACCATGACACCGAGCTCCTTCTCTGCGGGGCTGCTCTCCAACAGGTCAACCCCTAATCTATACTGTTGTCCGCGGTTATTCCTCCCCAGGTGCAGGACCCTGCACTTGCCCTTGTTGAATTTCATGAGGTTTCTCACCGTCCAATCTGTCCAGGTCCCTCTGGATGGCAGCACAGCCCTCAGGGCTCCCAGTTTGGTATCRTCRGCAAACTTGCTGAGGGAGCACTSCATCCCTTCATCCAGGTCATTAATGAATAGGTTGAAYAGGACCAGACCAAKGACCGACCCCTGGGGGACACCACTAACTACAGGTCTCCAACTGGGCTCCGCACCACTGACTACCACTCTCTGCACCCTGCCACTGAGCCAATTYCTAATCCACCTCCCSGTCCACTCATCTATCCCACACCTTTGGAGCTTGCCCAGGAGGATTCTGTGAGGGACAGTGGCAAAAACCTTGCTGAAATCCAGATAGACGACATCCACTGCTCTGCCCTCATCTATCCAGCTAGTCACTCCTTCATAGAAGGCGRTMAGGAAGCTGCCAGGAGCAGCTGCCCTCAGTGACTGTGTGGATTCAATTTGGGAGTATGAGCTGGGGAGGAGACAAAGTTCTGCTTTGACCTCTGCAGCAACCTGACTTCAGAAGTTTTACCCATAGAAAGCAACACTGACTGTCCTGGAACAACACTGACTGTCCTGGAGGGGTTCATGATTCCAGAGGCCAAATGCCAGAATTAGGCTGAGGCTTCTGCAGGGCGGCAGTGCTGCCACAGCGGGTGTGCGGGCGAGCGGGCTCACAGGCTTGAGCAGCCCCAGGCTGCCGGATTCCCAAACGTGAGGCCYCTCCTGCTGCTCTACCCACTCCTGCCTCTTGCCTGTCACAGAGATCARGGTACAAAGAGGTAACAGAAAACGGGGCTCTTGGGGCATCCCCAGTCTGCATTCATGGAGACCAGCTCCTCAACACCTACAGGGSAGTGCATGGCACAAAAAATGCAAGGCCAAAATTTTGGGGTTATCTTCCCAGTTCGTGTAGTTCTGTGGTTACCATAGTCTCTCCTTCTGACATAATTAGCTGTCAATAGCTGGTATCCAGCACATCTTTTTTTTTTTTTTTTTTTTTTTTTTTATGTTCTGATAATGAAAGGAAGGAATTTTAATGCTTGCCCTTATATATGTAAGAAATAAGGTTGTCAGAAGCATGTCAGCCCCTGCAGCTTTCTTCGTCCATGTTACCCAAGTCCTTTGGAGAATTCTAATGTAGTTATATATCATTATGGTACAGATACAATATCATCTTGTAGTCTTGCAACAGCTTTTGTTTATGGCTCTACTGATTCCTTTTTGAAATAATACTTTGTAATTTTGGAACAGAGATGCAATAGTAAAAATGTGGAAAAAATAATCCTATTAATAAGCAATATTAAGAATAGAAATTGAACTCATCCCTTTTTAAATTTATAGTGTCCATGCAGTTTCTGTATTATGAACTACTGCTAGTGTTTCTTTTTCCCACATTAAATACTTTTCCGAGAAAGTTTGCCTTACTAGAATTACTTGGAGCTGCTATTGCTGCTGTGCTATGACTGTGAGATAACTTTGCCTTTGCAGGTGTTGCTTTTATGGAAGTTCCACTGAGTGGTGCTGTTGYTCTGCTCTCAGTATATGATAGCTCTGAAAAGTAGAGGTTTGCAAAAACCCACTTGAATCTCATTCCCTAGAGTAGCTGCCAGGACAAAGAGTCCAATATAAACAAAGTGCATTACATTCTTTTTTAGGCACTGAATGCTTATTTTACTGCAAAGAGTTTCATTATTAYGCTGTGATGCCATCCAGCAGAATCCTGAATGTGGTCTTTGATATTCTACTACGTGTATTCCTGTATTGTTCACCCACTCTTGGATCATATATTTCATTGATAGCATCATGCTATTAAGTTGTGTGCTAGCATATTCAAAAGGAAACCTAGTGCACCTAAGGATTTTATAGCACTTCTTAATCAGTACTATCTATTTTTGCTTTTCTTAATGCCCATTAAGAAGCCTGTTTTCCGTATATTTTAGCTGCATTATTAAATTCTGAAAAATGTAAGAAGTGGCCTGTTAGAAGGTGAAAGCAGGTCGCATAAGAAGCCCTTGTTAACAGGGCAGGTAGAAAGGTCTGCAAAAGTTGTCCAGAGATGCAACAGTTTTATCACCTTTTTGCCCCTGTTGAGATCTGTTGCACCTACGCTGAAACAATAAGGCAGTGATAGCAGAAGAGAAGATTTCTTCTTTAGGCACTTTATGTTCTTTTTGCTTTAGGGGTTATCCATTTGGTTACTGTTATAATAGCTTCATCTGTTCTAGATGGATAAAATATTTTATCTAGATTATTCTGTATTATTTTGATATAAATCATGCTTTGAATTTTCATKYATTTAAAGAGCCACTGAGGTCAATGGGTAGTTGGAGATGAACTCTTCAATGACTTCTGAAAAGGTGCATTTATTGTATAAATTTGTTAATGGACGGAATTGCAGAGGATATTTCACTAGAGAGGTAATACATTATATTTTAACCTTTTTGATAAGAGAAATAAGAAAGATTCTTCCCATAGTACTAAYGTGCAAGAAAAAAATTGACTCAGCTTGTGATATGTATTTTCTTTCTAAGCTAGAGGCAAGAACTTTTGTGACAAGTGTCACCTTGGTTTAATACTGTGGAAGATGTTGTTTTTCAGATACTTAAACTATGTAAATTGCTTCTTTTGCAC